TAGCATATACTGTTTACTTGATACGTTGACGAGTGTTGACAGCCGAAATCAGCAATACAGCAATCGAATATCATTGATCAACAGTCAAATGATCAATTATAGAGTGTATTTGATAGAATGAGAATTTGACTTTAATTGTTGAGTGAAGTGAATGAGAAATTAGCAGAAGAGAACAGTTTTTGGTGACAAAAGCTATGAGAGTGATTATAGCAGCAAGGAAAAGAATGAAAACCCTGTTGAAATGAATGAAAACCATGTTAGGCTTAAACGACCTAATGATACTCAGAAACACCAGTAATTTAATAGCATTCATTCGCCTATTGCAGATGATTTAAATTAGTTTCATGTTCCGACAAAATCAACTTGTGCAAAAGGATTGTGTGATTGCGGTGTTATCCACCGCGCAGTCAGAATGATAACTAATAGGTTGTCAGATGGCAAGCAATCAGTAATAAACAATCAGTAACGATGACACCTAGTAATGAGTCCAATTTGTTGGTGCCAAACTGAAAATCGATCTTCTAAGGTCGAGCATGCGTTGAGCAAGTGTGCATGGATCCAAGCAAGCACGACTGTCATCCGGCTGCGATTTGCACGGAAGTTACCGGAGCTGAACGCTACAAGTGCTCATGCCGGGATGGATATATAGATGCGAACCCGTCTAATCCAGGTTCATCCACTTAATATTTGCTATAAATTACAAAGCGTTCTCATTTTTGGTTCATCTCAAGCGTGAATTATTTCGGCGATCGCTAATGTCTAATCTTGTGTCAGTCAGCGTTGAATATCCAAAATGTGATGATAATGGTGATGTCGTCGATTCAGGAAGAGAATGTAAAGAGGAGGTGAATGAATGCCTGGATAGTTCGTTAAACGATTGTGATCCAGTGGCTACGTGCCACGATCAGCAAGGAGGATACACTTGCGTATGTCCAGTTGGAGCAAAGGATGTTTCTCCAGACCCGTCCAACAAGCCTGGCCGTAAATGCGCTGTTGTGAGTATGAATAATTTCAAGCTATCCATTACTTATTAATAAAGATACTATGAAATTCAAAACGATGTTTAGTATCATCACAATAGGGTAAAATTAAAATCTGTTCATAGAAAGAAATCAGTTTCAATGAACACACTTGTAAGATGCCAACGGATCCAATGCTTATTGCCAAGATTTCATTGGTGATTTCACAGGTGTTAATTTTCAAATGGCTCATTTTCAGTTGATCGATGAGTGTCGCAATCCACATTTGAACAACTGTAGTCGTTTCGCAGACTGCTACGATCGTGAAGATGGCTACGAATGCCGATGTAAGGCTGAATATCACGATAATGACCCGTACAATCCGGGTACAAACTGCTCATTCGGTAAGTTCCGTTCACATTCAAGAACTCAGAAAATATTTCCGATAACTTTATCGATGACAATTTCCTTTTTTTTCTGCATAAGAACTCGTAATTGAATGATTTTCAGTTATTAACGAATGTGAATCGGATACACTGAATGATTGCGATAAACATGCGAAATGCACGGATACACAAGCTGGATATGAATGTGAATGCATTGCTCCTTACCGCGATGAGATCCCCTCGAAACCTGGCCGAGTTTGCAGGTATAATCTCACATTGAATTGGTACCTCTATAGAGCAGTTTCAGTTTTCCGACTGCATTCAACCGTTCCAACGGGAAAAACGTGTCGATTCTAGGAGAGTTGAAATGAACTAGTGAAATGAGAATTGTATCACGTAAAAGCTTTCATGAGACTCACTCTGATGGTCAGATAAGATCAATTGGATGATTGCAGATATAATGAATGTGAAGATGCGCAACTGAACGNCCATACAAAGCATTCAAATGATATTTGCATGCTGACTTTCTTCCTGATCTCCTATAGAATTCCTTTTACCGCATTCAGAAATGCCTTAAGAAATTCAAGTTTGAATGAAACAATTCTACGTGATACTCTGATCTACGTGAAATATAATGGAGTGCTGAATTTTCAAAGGTTTGGTAATACATAAGCCACAAGAAAGCGAGAAAACGACACTATCGCCGAATTTGAGTCCGTGCTCAAGGACTTATTGCCATTTGGATCGTGGTGAAGTGTGCATTGATGGATCGTATTGTGGATGCAGACCGAATCAGGGCCGTGAAAATGATACCGCTGAATGTGTCGACGTTGAAAAGGTTGGATTTCTCAGAAAAAACTTGAGGTTTCATTCGCGTAGCTCATCTGCTCTTGAGCCAGAACTTCAGTTCCTCACCATAGGAAGGACAAAACAGGGGAACAGATTAAATATTTTTTATTTGATTGTTGATTCCTTTTTTAGCAAATAGAAATTCGCTGGCAGTTCAAAAGTGAATATTTCGAGTGTATTGCGACAGTGAGTGGATTTGATCGTCGCAAATCAATTGCATAGCTATTATCTCTGAAACATTGCGATTTCCGTTCCTATTTCATCGTTAAACTACGAGCGATTTATTCTAGGTGCCATTGGAAATCCGTGTCACAGAGCGTGATGGTGATAAGCTGATCTACAGCAGCGATTACGGAAGTCCAAATTCACCGAATTATGTGGATATCGTTGATAAATTCAAGAAAGGATTAGGTGAACTGATCAAAAAGACCACATCCGGACCATCGTTTGTGGCTGATGATGTAAATTACATCACTAATCCTAAAATTAAAAACAGGTCAGTAAAATAAAATTGTTTCGAAGATAATCATCCAGTGTTGGAGATAAATTTTGAACGATGATTGCTTGTTGAAGTATGTCTTCAAACTTCTTAATATTTAACTAAAAATTTCGAACACGCAATTCAAAACGTTCCCAGTGACGTGCAGTCAGTGAGCAATTCGTTTGAAGATGATTTCAGCACATGGGATAAAGGATTGCTGGTCAACGCAACCGCTGATTTCAAGTCACCAGTCGACAAGTGTGAATTCTGGAAAGAGCTCTCGGAACAAATCAAATCCTATAATAATAAACTTGGAAGCAGCAAACTTACGGTTGCTTCGGATATAGATCAGTTGGACCCATGCAGGTTTCTCCTTACTTGTACCTTATCTTTGCATTGAATTAAAACAATTGTTCGTTCATTGTCAGCCCAAAAATTCCTTGCTATAAGTGCAACATTTGCCCAAATATTCACAAATGACGAAACGTTGTGAATTTTGCTTGAAAGATGAAATATTTCTGATTAGATGCTAGAAGCTGGAGCAAAAGCCAATTGTATCACCTTTGTAGCATCATTATTGATGTATTTCATTCAGAAAAGAAGAACATAAGGGTAAAGTGTGCGGTACAACATACTGCCAACCAGAACTTGGTGAGGTTTGTATTGCTGGTAAGGTGTGCGGCTGTCCAAATGGACAGAAGAGAACTGGTCTTGATAAACCATGTAAACAGGTTAGGACAAACGCTTTCTTCATTATGCATCTGAACGAAACTTTTTGATCTCGTAAACATTCGTTTGATCAATCCTCTCAGATTTCGCAAGGAGAATATTTCCGTCTGTAATATTCAGTCATCCAAAATGGTTTCATCAAAATAATGCATTNCATTTAAATCCATGCAAATGTTCTGTTTCTAGAGTGAAACTCTTTACCGTTTCATAATTTCTGTGTGCAGGTAGAATCATGGAATTTGCCATTGTGGGTGGCTCGTGAGGGCAACACGACGTTGAAATACACGAATGATTTGGCAAATCCACTAGATGAAATGCATAAAAAATTAGTGAGCGGATTCGAGAAGGGTATTGCTGAGTCGTACGCAAAAACGCCACTCAAAGATGGCTTCGTTGTTGCAGAAGTTAACGATATCGTTAATCCAAATACCATCAATAAGGCAAGTTTCGCTGATAACGATTAGTAATCGCTCAGTAACTTCACACGAGAGAGATGAACATTCGTGTATATTTGAACAATGCTGCATCAGTTTCAGTTCTTACTCACAGTCACAATCAGCAGAAAGAATTTTTAGTTTGCTGATGTGAACCATTTTCGGCTAGTCCGATTTAGTGTGTTTATGAACAGTGCGATATGCACAATAGGTTACGAGTGAAACTTGTGACAATTTCAGACGTGGAATGAAGGTATTCTGTACAATTTCACGACGAGTTTCGTACGCGGTGCTGTTAGCGAACCGAAGAAAGTGTTCACCGACCTGGTCGATTATATTGTAAAAAAGAACAACTATGAGGTATCCTTAGCATTTCGATGAATAATTTCAAAATTTTCAAACGATCATAAGTAGTTTAAAATAACTCATTCAACTATTATTGGCAAAATTACTAACGATAAGGCAATTTTCTACCTTTGTAATAACTCACTTGATCATTATCTGCTTTCATGGCACTTGTCAAATGTAGACTGGAAAGTTCAAAAAAATGTGCTCATTTAATCGAAAAGCGAGTCTGATGATGATGAAGTTTCGCCATTTTAGGTCGGTAGCAGTAAACAATACATAAGTCCAGTGCAGGCGAATCCGTTCGATAAATGCTTCAAGAACGATTGCCATCCGAACGCAATCTGCAGAAGTGACGGAAAGAAACAAACGTCAGCGATTAAACTTAATTGATTTCCGATTGAATTTTTCGTTCAGCAACCTTTTCAGGTTGAGAATGAACATCACTTTAATCCTATCTCGAACATAGGCGGCAAAAATTTTGTTTTGCTCTAATGAGATCCACTTCGAAAGCATTCGTTGTTTCCAGCTGTGAATGTCCAGCGGATTACCGTGATTTGGAGCCGTCGAATCCTGGTCATCATTGCTTGAGCATAATCGGAGTGAATGAATGCGAGAAAGATGAGTGGAACGATTGCGATGTGAATGCGCGTTGTATTGATGAGGATCATCTGTACAGGTGAGTAGTGACAGTAATTTCTGTGACTGATTTCAGTAACCAAATTCGCTGATACTCCCGCAAACAACATTAAGTTGCACATTGCAGGTGCGAGTGCAATAAACCGTACGTGAACGCGGCTCCAAAAGACAAATTGCCCGGTTCAGTGTGTCGTCTCGACTATTGTTCAGATGTTAACTTCTGTCCGGCGAACACAACTTGCAAGAATTTGGAGGATCAGGTCAGTNGAACTTCTCAAGCAATTCACGCAAAACATGCAAACTTATTGGCTTTTCATTACTGTATTATGACGAAATAGTTTTCGAGACTCAAGGAGAGATATTTTTCAGGCTGTTTGTGGCTGCCTGCCTGGATATGTTGATATTCGTAAGAGTGAACGGCGTTTGGAAGCCGGTTTCGACGAGGATACGTATTGCTTGAAGGCGCTAGATGTTGATGAATGCGCTTTAGGCTTGCACAATTGTAGTGCTGCAGCGGTTTGCACAGATCTACGTGTTGGTTACAAATGCGCTTGTGCTGAAGGGTCAGTTGCATTCGTAGTTTCATTAATGTCGCTGAGGAAATTTACACCATTGAAAGCAAATCACATTCACTGCTATGGAACAAATATTCACATAACGAGTTCAGTGCAAATTCCGACTGAAATCGTTTTAAATTAAGGTTTCAGTAACTGTTAGTTTCAGTTAAATTAGTGGTTTCAGGTACAAAAATTTTCGGTTATCAGATCTGTAGAAAGACGGCAACTTTATTGGAGCATCAATTTCAGGTACACAGATGGTAACCCATCGCTACCAGGTCGAGTTTGTGCAGCACTACTCTGTGGCCTTTGTAATGGCCACGGTGACTGCGTGCATAATCCACAGACCAACAATATAACGTGCTCATGCGTTGAGGGCTATACAGGAGAGTTTTGTGAGCTAGCACCGTCACATGCATCAGCCATATTGTTCATCATATTGGCTCTACTCTTCCTCTTGCTAACGTTATGTTGCTGTCTTTACTTCTGCCTGAAGACGAGGTGAGGTGATCTGCATGCAACATTGAACCCAACAATGATCTATCCCAAACGATTCTTTCAGTTGTTCTCATAAATGAAATAATTAGAGTGCAAAAGTTTTCGGGTATATTTTTGTAGAAGATGTAATAGTAATGAAGTTACTATCCATAATAAGCATGGTCAACAATTACAGTCAAACTTCAATCAAGTTTCAAGGCTAAAACTCTTCAAAAATCATACTGAAATCACCAATAATATTGAGAAATTATATCACAGATGTTTTGGTGGTCGTGGAATGAGCACAAGCAGTATGAGCGGACGCGAAGAAATTCTTGGATCAGATTACTACACCATCCCACGAGCGAAACTCAAACAACGCTCTGTGAGTTAACATACAAATGTTTGCCGAGTCTATTCCCATTAAAACTTCTTATTTATTCAGATCACACATCTGAATTGCTTAAAATCACATGCGCTTTCATCTAGATACAATATTGAACTGTTATTTATTTACTGCTGAATGCGTTTGCAAACAATAGAATTGAAGACGGCATTTGACAAATATGAACTTTATACATTGAAGTAACATTGCTTTTCCATAATAGGGGCGATTTATTGTAACGATAATAAGTTTCTCATGAATCTAACAATTTATTCACTTAAATATCTCAAGCATACTAAGTACAATTAGTTTGTTTCAATAGTAAATACATTCTCCTATTAAGAACATTTGTTCAATTCCTGATGTGACAACCGCGTCATTGAATTTCCTAATGATAATATTGAGTTCTCATAATTTTTAGCATTGCTATTCAACATTCAAGTGAAAAATTGAGGTGTGACAAAAATGAGATTTTTTGAAAATCATTTTAAGATGGACGGAGCGGGTTTGGGCGATGGCGTTGGCGCTGGTGGTTTTAGAGGTGATGCTGATGCGATGGCTTTGTCTCGCCGTCAACCTAT